TAGAGTTCTAGAATACGACCCTTACATCAAACCTGACACTTTGGATTTTTGACCGTTGCAATTTGCATAGAGATGAATGTATATATTATGTGTCAAGCTAGATGTGCTATTGACCCTGCCACGTCGTTACATTATTCAAAATTGTAAATAGTTAATCCTGACTCGCTTAACTATGATCAATCTCTTTCCGCCAGAACATTTAAATAATCTACGTTTTGTTTATTAATTTTAAAAACTCTAGTTGGTGACATCTAGGAACGCGAGGTATGTTTTAAAATAAATATGCGATGATTTAAGTCGATAGTCGATGCGATAATTGAAGCTTCCATACTCAGTATCCCGTTGTTTGTAGGAGGTTATATAGCTCCACTCACCAGTATGACTGTCAGCTGATTTTTTATCTATGGTTATAATTGACTTATGTCATCTTTCGCTGTCGGGTTCTGGCATTTAATTTGTTAAATCCACTTTAATCTCATAATTTACTTTGTGAAACTCGCCGTAAATATCTAAAAAAATGGCTCCTAAAGCTGGTGGTGACGCTGCAAAAGTTAATTCAGCTGTTTACAAAGATAAAAGCAAACCTACTGACATTCGTTTAAGCAACATTAATGCCGCAAAAGGTACAAAAACATCTGCTTAAATTTCAGTTTTTATTTATGTTATTTGCATTATAAAATTAATTCTTATACTTCTTCTTAACTCTCCTTTAGTTAAAAAAACCTTTGGACTATATTTAAAGTTAATTTTCATTGGTTATTGATTATTTTCTGTTTTTGTTTTGATATATTTCTGGTTTCTTTTGTGTACTGTACATTTTGAGACGCCAAGCGCTCGTTTTTCAACATACTAATAATTTTAGCAATAAATTTGTCTGTATTATTTTACCAGAATAATGGTAATATAAATAGCTTTCAAAGTTATTTCTCACATGTATTAGTCATACTTAAATCTCAGTGTCCATATTTGTTCCAGCTGTATCAGATGCAATTCGTACCAGTTTGGGACCCAGAGGAATGGACAAAATGGTGAAAATTATTTATTATAAACTTCATAATTGCCTACAGTTTTAATATAGTTTATTACACAAATTTTGAAACATATTTATGACTATTTGATGGACTTAGTGCTTTAGCAGTTATCACCGTGAACATTGTGGTTTGAATACAGGAAGAACATATACAAGGATCAACAAAAAGAATTGTGAAAGACTACATTACCATTGCACGATTTGTGGGGCTACCCTCTGTGCAGTTTCAAAGATCATGTTTTTGCACCAAAGAGCGAGGTAAATCCCGGCCCCTGAGCCCCTAGTGGAGTAAAACTCCCAATGTGAGCAGGAATTACGGACCCCCACTTCCTGTGTTATATGAGAAACTAAATTTAACCAAAAACCAGGCAAAACACAAAATCCTAATTGACGCTGTCTATGAACTTCTTAAATTATAATATAATTTCGGAAATGCAAATCCAAAATGCAAACAATTTATTATAATAACCTAACCTACCTTATTGTGGGATGCAACTAAGATTTAACCTATGTAAAATACATATGTTTTAAAAATTATTGTTCAAAAATAAAAGCATACATACTAAATATAGTAAATTTCAATCTTAGGGTCGTATTCTAGAACTCTACTCAATGCTCAAGTCAGGATTGCACTGGAAATACGACCCTAATGGCAGGGACTTGAGTATGATTTTGAGTGCTTTAAACCATACTCAAATCCTGACTTGAGCTTGTAGAGTTCTAGAATGCGACCCTTAAATGTACAATTACTTATTAATATAAGCTTTTTAATTCAATATTGTGAAAAATTTTATGCATTACTGCAACAACCAAATGCCGTGCTTTCCTAACCTACAAAACCTGTTTCTTATCATTTATTTTTGAATATTTCAATAATTTTTATTATCAAAACTACGAGTTTCCTAAAGCTAATATTTTAGGATTAGACTGCTAACTATTTAGTCTATTCACCATATTAATTTCAACTCTCAAATTGTGCAATGGTTAATATACAGTTGAATCAAAAATTGTTTCCACTCTGGGTGTTCTGGGGCGACCCCCAGAATAAATTTTGTTACCTAATTTGAAAGCAATAATAATAATTTGTTATCATTATGAAATAGCTTAAATGGATACTGGTTACAGGTCTTCACATGGCATATAATAAGCAATATGATCTAGAGGATTTGGTGATAAAACCTGTTACCTGTGTAGCTTCTAATTAAAAAAACTTAGTGTATTCAATACATTTCCCAAAAAAATTGCAACTTATTAGTTGTACCACCACACCTTCAATCAGTTCCCTGTAGTCTATTGCTTATAATATTCTATATAATGGGTTGGTCAAGAAGCCCATGTGGTTTTTGCCACTACCTAACTTTAAACAAAATAGAAGTATTTCTTTCAAAATGTTATATTGTCGTAGGTATAGGTAAAGTTAAGTTTATAATTCTTGAAAATACCCAGAACTGGTCAACTATATTGGCGCGTATTTCGTTGTGATAATGCCAAACCACACATCTTTACAAAACTGTCATATGCTATTGTAATTAAGAATGTGCCACACCTTTTTTACAGACAGATTTATTTTAGATTTATTATTTTCAGATCCAAGCAGCCAACGGGGAGGTCACTATAACCAATGATGGTGCTACAATTTTGAAACAAATGAATGTCATTCACCCTGCTGCAAAGATGGTAATTTCAAACAATGTTTATTCTGCAACAATGAAATATTGAAATCTGGGGTAAAATTGTATTTAATATAAATCAGTCAACAGTATTATTGTACTTACATTTTTATTGACATATTTGCAAGTGTCAATTGAGAATAAAAATGGAAAAGTTTCCCTAAAATGGATTAGTCACCCTACATAAGTATTTTTGCCAAATCCTAATTAATGTCTGCATATTGTAAAACAAGATGGTCTAAAAAGCTTTTGGAAGGTCAGTAGACTTACCATGTCTATATTTAAGAAAAATAGAACTTGTCTGTTTGATTCTGATGGATATGAATAAGCCATTTTGAAGTACAGATTTTTGGATACAATGTCAGCTACATGTACTACACAAAAAAACATGAAAAAAATTCCATTATTGAAGCAGTATGCTGTGATTGCAAACGAGGGCGAACCATCGAGTATATAACCAGAAAAAGAAGGAAAATGTCATTTAATTTCTTTGAAAACTATTCTGCCTTGTCATTACGGTGGCGACTGTGCTCCGATTTGCCAACCCGAATTCGAAACACTTGACGTGTGTCGTCAATTGTTTCACTTCAAATTGACTAGCTTAACTTGAGCTTTGCTTTAATGGACGAAAATTACATATTTAATATTTAATTGCCAATGAAATGTAATTCCGTTTGTTCCCACACCACCAAATGAACAGCCCCCCTTAGTTAGAGATTATCTTTATTACAATAAATACAGACTATTTTTTGAATATATGGAGACATACACACAGGTCAGTTGTTGGCGCTGTACTATTTCAGCTTTCTAATTTGTGCTTTCAGCGCAAATGAGAGTTGGTATTTAAAAGTGATATAATGCCCATTTACCTGATGAGTTACCAGTGATGGATGGCGCTTATTTCATCTCTACTTCTGGTTATCTACTCGATGGGGGAAACCCACAAACAATTAATGGAATATGGTCTCATTTAATAATAATAATCGTCATGTAGCTTACCACCAGACACATACATGACTTATTTCATCCTGTCACTTGATATTATAAAAAAAATTAAATTGTTTTAACCTAAATAAACATTGTTGCCAATAATTGGTGTCTTGTTTGGATGGCCAAGATATGTGTGTTGTCAAGTCTACAGAGTAACTAAGAAGTAAAAATATACATTACTTAGATATATTACATTATATATACACAAAAATATATTGTCACACCTCTTTCCTCATGGGGTAGGTAGAGCCCACGGTCCTCCACTTGCCACTATCCTGGTATATGTCTTTGTTTGTTCTTCTTTACATATAAATTATATAAACACTATTTTCAACATTTTGTAGCTGGTAGAGCTGTCAAGAGCTCAGGACATAGAGGCTGGTGATGGTACTACATCAGTAGTGGTGATAGCTGGCGCATTACTGGATGTTTCCGAAAAGCTGCTCCAAAAAGGCATCCACCCTACTGTCATCTCTGATGGGTTTCAGAAAGCCTTGCAACTGGCTTTACAGGTATTTATTCCTTTTGAGGTAAATGCTATTATTGATAGACTCTATCCATAATAAAATTTACCTCATGACATTTATTTCTTTTTACATAAGACAAAGGTTCTGAAGTTAATATTTGTTTATCTAGAAGATATGCACTGTGACCTTAAACATATACAGATTATTATTTAAATAATACAGAATCCAGCTAAGATTTCCATTACTGTCCACACAGTTAATGACACAAAAAATACTTTCTGTAAATTGATCAAACCTGGGCATGTCTCTTCTAGTACCTAGTGCTAAACGCGAGACCACCAATATCGTCGTTACTTAAGCTGTTCATCTAAATAAATCATAATTTCAGGTGATAGAAAATATGTCCACCCCTGTCGACTTGAACAATGAAGAAGCTTTATTGCAAGCAGCTGCCACTTCCTTGAACTCCAAGGTAGTATCACAGCACTCCACTATTCTGGCTCCCATTGCAGTGCAGGCCATCAGATCAGGTTAGTAATTTTACCTTAGTATTTACTTTTTTAAAGTATCTCTGTTAATGAGTAATATACAAATACTTGTTTGATATATAAATAGTTCCTGTAAGCGTAACTTAAACCTCTGGATACAGTGCAGTAGAACTCCAATTTGAACTTGGATGGACTTTCATTGCCCCATTGTTGAGATACTTACACTTGATATTTATAGTGGATCTATCTGACGGCGAAGGTACAACGGCGTCATTTCCACAGTAGGTATTTAACAGTAAATAAAGACAATGCCTGAAATTTTTAACAGTAATGGAACCAATCCCTGGCGGAATCGGCGCACGCGTCGACCTGCGTGATGTGAAAGTGATCGAGCGCGTGGGTGGCACCGTGGAAGACACGGAGCTAGTCCAGGGGCTAGTGATCCCGAACCGTGCCTCCAATGTAAACGGCCCACATCGCATTGAGAAGGCCAAAGTTGGCCTCATTCAATTCTGTATTTCACCGCCTAAAACTGACGTGAGTATCTTAAATAGAAAATAACAAATCTCTTAGTTTCTGTACGAGTATTAATTTTTCTTTTTTTTTTAAGAATACTGCATAGCGTACAATGTCTATTCCCTATATAGTAGCGCAACGCCTTTAATGCTCGGCGCCGCCGTCGCCCGTGTATTCACTACGCTGTCATACACAGGTATGCAAGGGTTGTCACAAACTGGAAAAAAAATGTGATTATTATAATTATTTATACAAAGATCTTAGAACACTTAGAAAAAATCCTTCAATCCGGCCGGATTTGTAGACTAGTGGTGTAATTCCACATAAAATAATTGAATATCATGTTAATAAAAAATTTAATTGAATGTGTTTATATTTAACATAATCATTTATTAACAATAAATATTACGTATCAATACACGTCAACCCATAGCGTTCGATTCGATCTGGCAAACTAAGCGTGCTTGTAGGAAGCGGCCCGCGCCACATGGTTCCCCTCTGATGCGGAACTTTATATGTATGATTTGTAAAAATGTGATCATAACGTCATACATATGCTGTTATTTGTAACATAACTAATCGTGCAGCTGTAAAATTTGAAAGTTGCCCTTTGTAAAGAACTACATTTTTCTACTGACAACGTGAGCAATTAGCGCCTTTGTTGCTTGTTTTGAATTAACTTGGTGTCATTATAAATCGAGTTTTGATATCTATTGCTTGATAGCGGTACAAAATAACGTTGTTTTTGTTATCTTATTTCAGATGGACCACAATGTCATTGTATCTGATTACGCAGCGATGGATCGCGTGTTGAAAGAGGAGCGCCAGTACATCCTGAACATTGTGAAGCAAATTAAGAAGGCTGGATGCAATGTATTGTTGATCCAAAAATCAATATTGAGGTATGTATCCTTCTTTATGTATATTTAGATATGAAAAAGCAACTTTACAAACTGGACCCCATAGTATTCATAAAAATTTAAAGCCGCCTGTTGCGTGTTAACTTATTATTTTCATATTAAGTTACTGTTCCGTGTTACCATTGTAATTTTATGAGCAATAAAAAATATTTCATTCATTTAACCTGTTATTACTTAAATTTAAAATTTTTATTTAATGTAAAAATGTAAGTGTTCGACCTTTGTATTAATACTCGTAATTATAACAAGCTAGTGGAGTAATTTCACAAAAATAATTGAATATCATGATGGTCAAACATTATGACATTGAATAAACTTAAAAATTACAATTATTAACAGCGACACCTTTAGTCAGCTGCTGGTAGCTGTAAAGGATTTCTCACAGATGGCGCTGTGGCAAAAAAGTCGTTAAAAACAAAAAACAAAGATCTGCAACAAGCACATAGCAAAATTCCTAACGTCCACTAGTTCATTCCATGGTTTAGCTGGCATGTTGTCTGGCACAGTTTGCTGGAATACGTTGGTGCGAATCCAGCCGGATCGAAGGTTTTTTTTAAGTTGTCTTATCTTTGTATTAATAATTAATGTAAAAAATTACTATTTAAAATTTTAATTTATCACGGAAGTAATTGATAGATATATCGGCAGACGAAGAGCAAAAATAAACCGGCTGTTCTTGACAATCTTCGCGAAGTTACGAACTTATCTGAAGGCCAACATATACTCTTTTAAATGTTGTAAATGTGCGAAAATAAGTTCTAATTCTTGTGATGAAGAAATCAAAATAAGTCGAATTCTATTGTATGTCGAAAAAAACGAATACGTTAAGCAGATGTTATTTAGGTATTTCTTTTTTAAACGATTGTAGGTGTTATAATAGGCAGGTTATTATTAGGTAGTCAAGAAATGGTAGTGCAGTGCACAGGCGCACTTAAGGGGTAGCCGCCACTGAGTATGTATATAATACTCTAAGGTCTAAGGTCTTTTTCCTTTTGTAATGTTATTTTTTAATTTTATCATATTTTTCAGAGATGCTTTGAGTGATCTGGCAATCCATTTCCTGGACAAAATCAAATGCATGGTAATTAAGGACATTGAGCGTGAAGACATCGAGTTCGTCTGCAAGACGCTAGGCTGCCGTCCTATCGCCTCACTGGACCATTTCACGGCTGAGAACTTAGTCAATGTTGAAATGGTTGAAGAGATCAATGAACCCACTGGAAAATATGTCAAGGTATGCTATATTAGCTGTATGATCTGGGGTACAGGTAGCTAGTAGATAAATTTATTCATCAGTATTTTCTTTTAATTGCAATGAAAGTTTGTACCTCCTTCAGTAAATTGTTAACCCTAATTTTAGTTTTTTTGAAAGTTCAATTTTAAGATGACAAACAAAAGTTAGTGTAGTGCTAAGTTGGTGTAGAAACCATACCTAAAATTTTATATATTTATTTTATACTCACGCCCTTAGATTCTCATTGGGGTAGGCAGAGACTATCGATCATCACTTAGCACGATCATTACAAACCTCTCTTGCTTCACTTACATTCATCAATCTTTTCATACATGCTTTCTTATTCTTCTCACTATGCACTCCTGCCTTTTTAAGAATGAATTAGATCAAAAAACGTTCTTCGTGGCTGTCCTCTTCCAGTGATTCCTTCCATGTTAGCTAACACATATTTCTTTCGTTAATCTACATTCATTCCTCCTTCCTTTTCTATTTTCGTCACTCGAAAGAGGTTTCAAACCACTTTGTTCATGGCTCACACTATTTTCACTCTGTCACACAGCCGCACATCGTACCTAAAAACAATGTAAAATGTCCAGATGACCGGTGCTGCCAATAGTGGTCGCACAGTGTCAGTCCTTGTTCGTGGCACAAGCCAGGCTGTGGTAGCTGAAGCAGCCCGTTCACTGCATGACGCGCTCTGTGCCGTACGCTGTGTTGCTCGACGACCTGCACTCTTGCCAGGAGGAGGCGCACCAGAGGTAAGATTATAAATTCTTTTTTGCACTAAGAAAACACATTAACAACACATGTAACAAAGGACATACACAAAGGTGAACTTATCTTTAAAAGAGATCTCCACCACCCAACCCTAGCTGTAGTGAAGAATAAAGTCTGCGGGATAATTATTGTACAAAAAATTGATTAAAATTCAAATATAAATGAATCATAAACACATAACTAAATACATAATTAAAACACAAATAAATTCATAAACACAATATAATGTACAGTCTTTTTTCAATGGGATAGTATGTCGAAATCCGAAACCATAGAAGATACAAGGAAACTGTCCTAAGAACCATTGAGCCTTTTTTTGTGAAAACAATTTTGGCGTAGTCAATTTTTTGGTTAAACGTGAGTTGTCCACAATTTTTTTTTATACTGATCATTTCATTGTATGGGACGAGAAAAAACGGGACAGCAGAAGTTGGTCAAATTTCATAAATATTCATGTCTAAATTCTTTGACAGGCAGCAGCCGCGGCGGCACTGACGCAAGCGGCCATCACAGCGCCGGGAGCGGATCATTACTGTCTCCGCGCTTACGCTGATGCTCTGGAAGTTATTCCGTCGACACTCGCAGAGAACGCCGGTGAGTAACATTAAATAAAATCTTGTTAACGAAAAATATATTCAAAAGTGCTCATTACCGATATCCTTTAAAATCTTAACCATAATATAATATGACTAGTGTAACTCCATACGAACGTAGCAGCGCGGTTTATATGTATGCATATACATATAAACCGCGCGACGCAATTCATTATAGAGTTGAAACGTTTGCTCGGTGTTTAAAAAATTAACATCAAATTAGGGTCGTTTGAACAAGAGTGCCACACTTTCAGAATGTGACAACACTACGCGCCTAGTGTAGACACTGACACGAACAGGCACAGATGTTGCTCATCTTATTATACTATGTCTTGTCTAACTTTCTTATATATTAATCTGCTGAACGAGAGCACACATGTCTCCCGGGAAGTGTGGCTACAGAGTAAGGATCTTGAAAATTCAAAGGCCCTGATAGCTGCCTACAGTGCCAAACACTAACGAACTGTGCTCACGAGAAGACTAGTGAGCTTCTCTACAGGACATTGTGGCTTGAACAATGAGAATAGAGTGTAAATTATGCTACGAGGCGGATGAAACTCCTGTTCATCTTCTCATCCACTGTTGCCGCCTGATGGGCGTACGAAATCCCATACTGGGAAGGCGAATACCACAACCAGAGGATATAAAAACTGTCGGAGCCAGGAAAGTCCTTCAGTTCTTCAATGGTGTCGGCCTTAATCACAATAGATTAGTCGATGGTCGCAGGATGAAGGGCTGCATATGCCCCGGATGAAGTCACCCTAATTGTACGTGCGGCGCACTTTAAGTTTCCGGAATAAATAAGAAAAAAATACTATAAATTGTAAGAAATGAACTTATTGTTTCTCAAAATATTCTCCATTAGCGTTAATGAACTTTTTCATACGAATTAACCAATTTTGAAAACATTTATGACACTCCTCCGTGACAATCTCTGAAACATATTTTTCATACTTCTCGACAGCCTCTTCAGGTGATGAAAATCGTTGATCGCGTTACTAGATCTTAATTTTTGGAAATAAATAAAAGTCACAAGGTGCCAGGTCTGGACTGTACGCGGGATGGCTCATAAGGTAAACTTTGTTCACCTTCAAAAATTCATTTGTCTGTGTGGCCGTGTGAGAACTGGCATTACCGTGGTGCAAGATGATACGGCGTTTCCGGTTATTTTTACGGAGTTTGTCAATAACGTCCGGAAAACAAATGGTCACACGACCAATCACTATTCACGGTACAACAATTCTCCAACGCAACAGTAGCCACGTGTCCAGTTAAAACTGGAAAAAAAGAAGCAATCATCCGCTTAG